CCAGGAGCCCAGGCACTCTCTGGCAAGGCCTGCTGGAGGAACCGCTCAAACGCCTCTGTGGCCAGTTGTTCCAGCTCCATGTAAGGGCCGAGATCTGTCTCGCACAGCAGCACTGGTGGGTGGCCCTTCCCCACTTCCCTGTGCCACTCTGCCAGCTGTGTTGTAAGCTTGCTGATCTGGCTCAGGACAGCAGTGGTTTGGAAGTTCTCCACTTCCACATCCATCTGAGCCTTCCTCAACACCCACTTTTCTTTCTCCTCTTCCTCTGCCAAATACTTCAGCTCCTGCTGCAGGCTTGCTGCCCACACCTGGAGCTTGTTATGCCGCCAGAGCTGGCGGGAGTAATAGGCCTGCAGCTCCCGGGCCTCCTGCTTGAGGGCCTCCAGAGAGGGGCCCTCATCATCCGGGATTGCGCTCGGGAACTGTGGGACCTGGCAGCAGGTTTGCAGCACTTGGTCAAGGGCATCACCTTCCAGGATGGGCTTGCCTGCAGCCAGCAGGGCTTCATAGGCCTCCACCTCAGCTGGGCTCAGCACGTTCTCCTCACTCACTGTGTTGCAGAACCACTCAAGGAACTGCTCTGTCTGGGGACAGTCAAAAAGCCAGTCAAAGTCCTTCTCACAGAGGGAGCCCACATGGGGGTAGACCACCTTCAGTGTCTCCAAAAACTCTGCACCTCTGTTGACTGCGTATTGTAGGAAGTTCTGGGAGCGTCTCCGGCTGCACATGGCAAGAATGGCCAACACTAGGAGGAACAAGACAGGAGATATCCATTACGGTCCCCACACCCAAAGCCATCGCAAGGATGCCCGGCAGCACTACTTACTGCCTGCTTGAGGAAAGACTTGAGCAGTCTCTCCACAAGTGCTGCAGATCAACTCATAGGGTCCTTCTCTACAGCATTGCCAGAGGCAGGCGCAAGACAGACAAGACCCCAAAGAGCAAGGAAGAAAGCCTGCCCTACCACCAATACCCCATTCCCATACTTCCCCTCACCAGGGCCATACAGCTCTGGGACCTCTGCTAATGCATCTTCAGCCTGTAAGAACTACCCATTGCAGAGCATCAGGGAAGGCTTTTTCAGCCTTCCTGCAGTTTGCTCCTTGACCTTTCTGACAACCAGCTTTCCCTGCAGATACTTCTTGCCCATCTATACACTGCATCTTCTGCAGCCACAGAAGAAGGACGCATCACTCACCACATCACTATAACTTGAGCGACACTGAGCTCTGGTAGTCACAGGGACACTACCACTTCTGTCTGACAGAAAAGACAAGGGTCCCGTTGGCCCCCCAGCCTTTCCTGCTCAGCACAAGTTGCACACAGCCTCTTATCCCCATGTCTCCACTTCCTCTACCACACTTTCATTAAGGTGGGAAGCTGTGCATGAAATACCCGTCAACAAGCAATCCTTGGCATGATGAACAGCCAGCAGCAGCTCCAGTGACTCAGGGAAGGCTGCCAGGGACAGGGATGGCTCATGCTCAGTGGGGAGACTCAGAGTTACATGGGGAAGGTTGGAAGGGGAGACAGGGTTTTCTCATCAAAACAGCAGTCAAAGCTTTTCCCAGCTCACTTTTCGGCCTGTGGTTGCACTCTGTCTTTTCCCCTCTAGAATTACAGGGGGTATAACCAGAACATAATATCAGGAACGTGCAAGATCAACAACTTCCTCCTCTACTCCAAGTTCCTTAGCTGGACTTGGCAGCTATGTTCCCCCAGGGCCAGAAGACAGCACGTTACCCACACCCAGATGTCCTGCCTCTGGTCTCCATCTCCCCTTGGCCAACTCTGAGGAACAAGCACCCCGGTTTCTCAGCCCTTCTGCAGTTCTCCAGCAGCTACTGCCAGCACAACCCTGAGAACCAGGCCAACCCACTCTGTTTCTGGTTGCATTTTGAAGGTACGAGCAATGCAGCGGCCTCCGCTAGGCGTGAAGATGGTGATTGAAGCTGTCTGCATCATGAAAGGAATCAAGCCCAAAAGGGTGGCAGGAGAAAAGCTGGGCTCCAAGGTGGATGATTACTGGGAGCCAGGCAAGTCCCTTCTCCAGGACCCAGGGAAATTCCTGGACAGCCTCTTTAAGTACAATAAGGTAAGCAGTGGCAGAGGGAGGCTTTGACCAGGGACTAGGCACTATCTCCTAGAGAGCCTGCTCACAGCAGTGAAACCACAAGTCATGCGTAAGGCTTCTCCTGGGCACTACCCTTCAGCAACACAGAGGACAGGGATGTACTTGGCTTGGAAGTCCTCATGTCAGTTGGTTGCACTTCACTACCTCAGGCAATGGGGCCCAGATGCCCAGGTCCTCCCTTCCATCCTCTGCTCTTTCCACTCAGTGGAGATGGGCGTGAACACACGCTGGCATGAACACACATGATGGACATGAACACACGCTATGGGAAGGGACTTACCTGATCCCACAGCAGTGCCTCCCAGGCCTCAGCATGTGGCAGTTTGGTTCCTCTTTCTCCAGTCCAATGCCTTAGCCTCCCGGCAGGCTGCAGCCACAAGGGGAAGAGTGCTTAGAGCTAGAAATGGCAGTCATTCCTCATAGGTGGGGATGCGGAAGACCTAGCTAGATCTTCTTGTTCCCCAGATGTCACCTCACCAGGGCATTATTTTCTGTAACCACTCAGCTATCTAACAGAAATGGAAAGCAGAGTTTCTTTCTTCATCCCTGAGGCTTCCCACTGAGCCCCTAGGGTGCCAAGCCCTTTCAGACCCTCCTCGGTCTGATCTCTGACACCCTCTTTTGATTTCCTTTCTCTCCCACCATTGCTCACAGGACAACATTGCAGACACTGTGATCAAAGCCATCCAGCCGTACATTGACAGTGAGGAGTTTCAGCCAGCTGCCATTGCCAAGGTCTCCAAAGCCTGCACCTCCATCTGCCAGTGGGTGCGTGCCATGTACAAGTACCACTTTGTGGCCAAGGCCGTGGAGCCCAAGCGGGTAAGAGGCAGCTTCAATGGGTCACGCTGGGCATTAGGAGGAGCAGAACTAGCAAATCCCTTCAGAGGGAGATGCTGACAGCCACCAGCTGTGGTGCAGGTCTGGCCTTCTGTTCAAATCAAGGCTTGGCCCAAAGTTCATCAAGCCCTAAAGTACATTAGTGTAATGAAATGGGAGAAATCAATCTAGAACATGCTGGACAGAGGTGATATCCCATCCTTAGAACTGGGTCTTGGCTCAGCAAAAACTATACTTACAGAAGCATTCCCACATCTCATTTGTATTTCAGCTTATTCTTCTCTAAGCCTAGTGATTTCTTTATTTTTGGGCAATCAGAGACACCTTTCCTCCTTTTCACCAATAGGCCACATCCTGAGCTCATGCAAGTTGGTACAGGCTCCTGGATCTGCAGAGCTATGTAGAAATGCCCTTCCCACCCCTACTTTTGTTCCTAAGCTTGCACAATACCTCTGGAGTTAAGCAGGTTACTTAAAGTAAGAAAGTGAAGCAGGCCAGACCTGGAATCCTCTCCTCCACTCCTTGCAGCAGAGCAAGTTCAAGCCCTTTAATTAGCCAGTTGGTGTCAGACCCAACAAGAGAGTTTGCAAAGTTAATTTAGAGGCTTTTGCAGTTCAAGTCATACCTCATTAGCATAATTGCTCTGGGGCCCCTTCACAGCAACGCAGGGGTTTCCAAGTCCAACAACATAACTGGATCAGTGCAGAGCTGGCCCTGTGCCGCCTTCTGCCCTGCTGAGCACGCCAATGGCCTTGCCATGCTTTAGGACTTCAAGCACAAGTTCTCGCTGTTAGAAGGCCAGCGGAAAAGCCTATCCGTGTATCCAGGATGTGCAAGGGGGGCTCACTTCACTCCCTGACCAAGCTGAGCCCTCCTGCCAGGGATGGGGCTACTTGGAACGTGGTGCTTGCTCCAGGAGCAGCACCATTTCAACAGGAAGTACCTCATTGCACTTTGTTTTCTTGAGGTGGATCGATCCAAAGGATCCCTTTGACACACCCAGGAAACATTACAAAGCTAATCCCCTACATACTGCCAGACTCCAGTGGTGTTTTGATAGCCTGTTATCTTTGCCACGTGGGGAAGGATCTCAGTTCCTGCTAGTGCTTTCATAGCAAGTGGTAGTTCTTCCCCAAACCAGCTCCCACCCCAAGGTCTGTCTCTTTGCCTGGCCACATGCCCGACAGATTCACCATTCCCTTATGCCTCTCCTCAGCAAGCCTTCCGGGAAGCAGAAGACGACCTGCACGCCACTCAGCAGGTCCTTGAGGAAGCTAAGGACCGCCTGAGAGAGGTTGAAGATGGGATTGCCATGCTGCAAGCCAAGTACAACAGCTGCGTAGCCAAGAAGGAGGAGCTGGAGATGAAGTGTGCGCAGTGTGAGCAGAGACTGGGCTATGCTGACAAGGTAGGGGACAGAGCCAGGTTCTGCTTGCTCACACAAGGCACATCAGACCCAGGGGGGGCAGTGACCAAAGCCTCCTCTACGCCTGCCACTTCCACCAACCCTGTCTGCCTTCAGCTCAGGGCATTACTGAGGCAGAGCTGCCTAGCTAGATCTCAGCAGCACAGAGGGGCTGGGAAAGCTAAACCAGCTGGGCACTGGTGTGAAAAGCTGCTACCCTCCTGTGCCACACCTTCCTTAGCCAGTTGCAAGGCTCCAGGGCAGCCCTGTACTCCCAGGATAAGCTGAGCAGCGGGGACAGAATTTGGGGTATGGCAGGGGCCACATGGGAACTCTGGTCACCCCAGTCACCTGCTGCGTTACCTAGAAGGTAGCAGGTCCAGGGAGCAGGGTTAGGCCACACAGCAGCTGCCATGTCTGCGGCTTGTCCACAGCTCATTAACGGCCTAGCTGATGAGAAGGTGCGCTGGCAGGACACTGTAAAGAACCTGGATTACATGGTCAACAACATTGCTGGTGACATACTGGTTGCAGCTGGCTTCGTGGCCTACCTGGGCCCATTCACAGTAAGTATACAACACTCCTTCTCCCCACGGGGTTCAGTTAGCTGCTTGTCTTTCGCTGTTGCTGACCAGATTAGCTGCAGAAACCCCAGTGGAAAGATCAGAGGAAGCAGCTCAGATTCTGCCCTGCTTTGGGGTTAGCAGCCACCACAGCTCCCTGCACTTCCCAGCTCCTCGGGGTCCTGGAGCAGCCAAGTTATTCTGCCAGCACTATCTCCGCATGCTCCTGCTTGGAGCAAGATTAGAGCTGTAACACCACAATCCCTGCAAAACAGGGCACATAGCATGGGGCAGAAGGATGCAAGATCCCTCCTGGATCTCTCTCTCTCTCCATTTGTGCCAGGGGCTGCACCTGGCCACAGTTGAACAGAAACAGGAGGAGGGTTTAGACAAACGCAACAAACTGCTACTAAAAGAGTGACTGTGATGGTGCTTCTCGTGGCAGGGACACTACCGTGCAGCACTGTGCACAGAGTGGCTGAGGCAGCTGTCAGAAAACAACGTTCCCCACACCAAGGACCCCAACCTCATCAGCACCCTCGGAGACCCCATGGAAATTCGGTCCTGGCAGGCAAGTGGCAGAAAGAACAGCATGGCAGGGTGAAGGGGCCAGCACCTCGGGCAAAGGCCAAAACACTCAGCTCACAATTCACTGGGAACATCTGTACCAGAGGACAGTCCCCAGACTGAACAGCTCAGTAACAATTAAGTGCCTCCACACCACAGAGCTGGAACTGCTGCCAAAGTCCGGGGCTCCTTGTGCAACAAGGGGACACTTTCAGAGCTCTGGCAGCATCCAGAGTAGCAGTGGCTCTGGGGGTATTGCACATCTTATCTGTAAGGCTTCCCTTTTACATGCCACAGGCTTAGAGCAGAATGCCAGCCACAGCTTGCCCAAGCTTAGCTTTGCCAGCACAGCTCTGTCCCAAGGCTCAGCCATCAGAGGTAGAGCTGGATTTTTGGGCCCAGCTGCTGCTAGCAGTACCCTTTCTGCCATCCCCTGGCCAGCCACAAGCCCCACACTATGACCACATAGGAGACAGGGCAGTAAGGGCTTCTCAGGAGAAGCCTCAGAACATACTTGTAGCTACTATCCTAGGTGATTAAACATAGCTCAAGGGGCTGGGACCCCCTGAATCTGGGCACCAAAGTAATTCTGACACCCACAGTGGGCACACACAGTAAAGGGAAACCAGGCCAGCCAGCTCCTGAACCACAGGGAGAAAGCTGCACTGTGCCATCAGATGTTCCCAGCATCTAATACACAGCTTTTTCTGCTTAACCAGATTGCTGGCTTACCCAACGATAGCCTGTCTGTGGAGAATGGGGTAATAACACAGTTCTCCCAGCGCTGGACTCACTATATAGATCCCCAGGGACAAGCAAACAAATGGATCAAGAACCTGGTAAGAGCTGTGGGGAGGAAAACCAGGTCTGCTGGGACAGGGGAAGGAGCTCTCTGTTAGGAGCTGAACAAAGTAAAGCCTTACAGTGTCAAGCTTTGGGCTGCAGAGCTGTGAGACCCCCCCCCCCCCCAGCCATACTTCCCCAGTACCTGACAGGCTCCACAAGCTCTGTATTCATCCTGACTGGGCCCCCCTGCTCAGGGGACCCCACACACAGCAGGAAGGGGCCCTCTGCCAGCAAGCGGAGAATCAGATTCCAGTTCTGGCTCCCCACTAGCATTCTGGAGGGCTTCACATCCTTCACCAGACCACAAACCACAACCCTAGTTATCTCTCATAAAGGCCTGTAGGATCTCTAGGAGAGAAGGGCTCAGGATGGTATTACCTCACTACTGAGCTCAGTCCTGGCTGCTAGGGTCCTGCAGGCACAGGCCACAATCACTTCTCTCCCTCTGGAGAGGCACAGAGAAGAGAAGCACCCACTGCCCTTTTGAAAGGTCAGGAGGGGAGGTTTGGCAGCTGCTCCTGTTCTGCTCCCAGAGGGCTTCTCCCACACACCTGCCCTCACTTTGCAGGCAAAAGAGCTCCAAGCTGCCAGTGCAGTGCTCTGCAGGGGCACTGCACAGGGCTGTTTTCAAAAGGCACTGCTGTCTGAAGGAGGTTTTTGCCATTCTCTCCCTGTACCTGCTGCTTAGTTGGGCTCTCTATAGTGGCCAGTGACCCTCCATGAGTGGGCTAAATGTGCTAAAAGGGTCAAAAACTAACTGAGCAGGGAAAAGGTGTCATTTCTGTTGTTTCAGGGAGTTAAATCAGCATGGTAGAAATCTGCCACGCACCATACCTGGCGTGAGGGAGTGGCAGGACACAGCAGGGAGAGGGCGATAGATCCTCTTGTTGGGCACCACTGAGGCAGCAGGTTGGCTGAGCCCTACCTACCCCAGGAAACATCACATCAGGAAACATGTTACAGACCTGGTCCCACATCCGGGCCCAGGGCCTGAGCATGTTCCGCTGAGACCCGGGTGTGCCGTAACCCTTCTTCTTCCTCTCTCTCTCTGCACAGCAGTAATGGAGCCCTTAGCAGCACATCTGTGCAGTGCTGGGCTCCTCTGCATCTCTGTCCTACCCTGCTGCCTTTCAGGAGAAGGAGAACAACCTGGAGGTGGCCAAGCTGAGTGACCGGGACTTCCTCAGCAGTCTGGAGAACTGCATTAGCTTTGGGAAGCCCTTCTTGCTGGAGAACGTTGGCGAGGAGCTAGATCCAGCCCTTGAGCCCGTCCTCCTGAAACAGGTCCTGTCTCTCACCGTAGCAAGGAGTGGGCAAGCAGAGTGCGATGGGTACCTGGCCAGGCTGGAAGGAGATGCCTGGGCATAGAGGAAGGTAGTGGTAGCCTCAGGTCAAAGCTGTGGATTTGCAAGTCTCTCTGGGCAGGCAACATTCACATGGGTGCCCCCTGCTTTGTGCTCCCCTGTCTTAGCCAGAGGTCCCACATATTGGCAGCCTCCCTCTCACCTTCAGTTTCCTGGCAGCAGAGCTTTTGTCTGTGCTCAGCAGGCAGGGCCGTGGCATTTGACTGCTCCGTGCAGGTTCAGGTTCAGGCCTTCAGGTCTGCTTGGCAGCTTTGAGCTCCTCTAGCTCTCTCTTCAGCCTCCTCTTTTGATTGCAGAGCCCAAGGCACAGTGGGATGCCTTCTCTCGCAAGAGGGGGGCATCCCAGCCCACCTGTCTTCATCTCTCTCTGGTACAGACCTACAAACACCAAGGCAACACAGTGCTGAAGCTGGGAGACACAGTGATCCCCTACCAAGAGGATTTCAGGATGTACATCACCACTAAACTGCCCAACCCTCACTACACCCCTGAGGTCTCCACGAAGGTCACCCTCATCAACTTCACCCTCTCACCCAGGTACCTGCTCACCCTGCTCAGTCTCATTCCCCACAGTCCTTGAGCCTTTGGCCCTTTTCCCCTAGTCCTGAGCTGCTCAGGAAGGAGGAGTGAGGGCCACAGAGGATGGCGATCATGTCTCTGCTCTGCCACAGACTCAGTGGGACCTTGGGCAAGTTCCTGGGTCTCGCTGCACCTGGTTCTCAGCCCACTGGGGAGGGTTGCGAGGTGGCCAACAGGGCTATGAGGCATGCAGACAGTGCAGAGTGGCCCTCATGTGGGCTGTGTTATCCCTCAAACCTCTGGAAATTTTTAGCATCCACAACATCCTGCAAGAGAGTGTGCCGTCTAACTGCACTAAGGCCTGGTTCTGCACATGTTCTCCTCACACCTCCTTCCATGTTCAAGGCTCAAACCTCCCCCTCCACCGCTCTGCCCTCTTGGCCCTGGTGCTCTTTGTTTTGGCCCATGTTTCCCACATCTTTCTCCCTGTCTGAGAACTTCAGACTGTATGTCTGTCTCACCGTTCCTTGTTCTGGCCAGCATGTGCTGTGAGTTGAATCACAGTGAAGGAGCAGTTCTGGGTGCAGTATTGTTGTCATGCCACTCCTGGCTCTGGGCTACTTTGTCACCCCAGTACCATGAGGGTAGCTCCTCTTCTAGATCCCCACTGCCTTCTCCTGGGCCTCTCTCTCAACCTGGCACTTCCTGTGGCCCAGTGGCAGCATGTCTCACATCTTGGGAAGCACAGCCTTGCTGTGTTGGTCTTATCATCAGGCAAGTGGCTGTCCCAGGCCAGGCCAAAGGACCATTGCCCCAGGAGCCCATTTCCAACAGCACCAAACAGGAAAGAGTATAAGAATAAACCACCACACAGCAATACCCTCCTGAATCCTCTCTCAGCCTCCTACAGGTTGCAGCTCTGGGACAGAGCCCAAGTATGTTTATATTTGTATATGTAGTAAGTTACAGCAGATTCTTGTCTTGTGACATTGTCTCTTTGGCCATTAACACCGCTTCCTGCAGCAGGAAGTCCCCCAGCCTCATCACCATGTGTAGGAAGAACCACTTCTTCACTTTGCCCCTGCCCGTGCTGGTCTCTCACACTGGAGGAGGTAGTGGCCTGTCAGGCCCAGCACCTGCCTGCCTGACGGAGGCTGGCGTATGCCGTGGATACACCACCCCTAGCCTCACCCTGGCTTTCATTGCAGTGGCTTGGAAGACCAACTGCTGGGACAAGTGGTGGCTGAGGAGCGGCCTGACTTAGAAGAGGCCAGAAACCAGCTGATCGTTAGCAATGCCAAGATGCGCCAGGAGCTGAAGGCGATAGAAGACCAGATCCTGTACCGCCTCAGCACTTCTGAAGGGAACCCTGTGGATGACCTGGAGCTCATCAAAGTGCTGGAGGCATCCAAGCTCAAGGCAGGAGAGATCGAGGTCAGTCAGAAGTACTCTCCCCCTGCAGCTGTGCATCCACTGCCAGCCCTGCACTAACTGTGACATCTCTACTGTCCCCAGGCCAAGGTAAAGGTTGCAGAGCAGACAGGGAAGGACATCGACATCACGCGCATGGAGTATGTGCCTGTCGCTGTCCGCACCCAGATCCTCTACTTCTGTGTCTCAGACCTGGCCAACGTAGACCCCATGTACCAGTACTCACTCGAGTGGTTCCTCAACATCTTCCTAACAGGGATCACCAACTCTGAGAGGGCAGGTACCTACAGGGAATGACCCCCCTCCCATCCCCTTCCCCACACCACATGCCTGCCCCATCAGGAGCAGAAGCTAGGGCACCTGGAGAGTTGAGGCTAATATGTCCACTTGCATTGGATCTCAGCATAGCCCAGAGCTGCCTGTAGCAGCATTCGCACAGCAAGGGGAGATGTGGTCACAGCAGGCCTGGCAGCCTGCCCTCCTCACTCACTACTTCCCTGCTGCCGTGTCCGATCGGGCTGGGGAGGTGCTAGTGCCAGCGCACGGGCAAGACGCATGCCACACTAGAAACAATGTGACTCTCCTCGCAGAGCCACCTTCACGCACAGGTCCTGGCTGCTGCTGCCAGGCCAGCACCTGCTAACCAGGGTGGTGCTGTGCTGGCTGGGCCCCTTTAGCCTGGTTTGGTGCAGTGTGGGCTCCCTCCCGGTGGTGAGGCACGCATTCTCCTCTGCTGATTCTCTCCTGAACAAGAGCAGGATCAAGCAGCCCTTCTCCCAGCTGGAGCCTCCTGCTTCC